GTCTGCTCACCTCCAAAGGCCTCTGTGATCGCCATACTCTCTACACCTCCACCCAGCAATTTACTGCAGAGACACAGTTCACATACATGTAAAATCATCGGTTTAATCAATACTAACGCTGCTGTTGATAAATCTCAAACACCTCCTATATCCTCCATGTTACTGCCAATTTATCTATTAATATGCTAAAGCTATGAAGCAAAGAAGAAAGTCTAGTGTGATTACTGCGTGCACAAAGTTCAGTGAAAAATAACCCTGAGATTCACTACTGTGTGTATTTTATTGAACTACAAGCATTCTGAGCCAGCAGACGGCCGCTCGCTACCTGTTGTTTGCGTGAACTGCGGGGAAGTTGAAAAAAAACAAACAAAACTGGATAATTTATGACTGAAGGAACTGAAACAGTGCCTGAGGAGGAAGCCAGAAAGTGCACAGCTTTTAAAAAGAGTCAGCTGAGAAGGGACAATGGTTAATAACAAAAGGGAGGTTTCGGGTTAAACAAATAAACAAAGTGATGAACTTTATCTCCCCTGAGACAAGAAGTCTTCTAGGGTAAGAAAAGGAAAAGTTTCAACATAAAAAATTATACAAAACAAACAGAACAACCTAACGGAAGAAAATGTGCAGTCTGAATGTGTGCTCTGAACACAGACCACACAAAAGGAAGAAGAGTGAGGATCTGAGGAGTATCTGATCTGTCAGCTCAACAATGTCAATGACTTTTTTGTTTAAATAGCACAACTGATTATACTTAACTCAGTCTGATGAACACGGGAGACAAAAACATAAAAACCTATGTAGGCTTTAAGGCAGTGAAAACAAAATAAAAGCTCAATTACAACAAAAGCTCAATTAAACTTTACAAAGAACACACATGCACCGCTAATTAATGTAACAAAAACATTTTGAGGGGTTTTTTTTAATGTCGGCACAGATGCATATGACCTCTGGTCAGCAGGCAGCTTGTTCCAAAGAACAGGACCACAGTAACCAAAGCAACCTCAGCACAGTGAGAGGTTTGACCGGGTTATAAACAATTAGTAAGTCAAAGACACATTGGAGGGGTCAAGCAACAGAGAGGCTTATGAACTAGCACTGAAAGCCAATGAAGTGACTTCAATAGTGGGGTCACATTTTCACATCTATAAGAACTGATTCGTCCTACTGATGACCTGGAGACTCCTGCAAATTGAGCGTTACAATAATTCAACCTGCTTGCTTGCTAACCTAAAAGCATGGATCAATTTCTCACCAATCTTAAGTTTTAATATTTTCTGAATATGATTATCAAATCTAAGATCATTCTCCAAAATAATTTCAAGGTTCCTGACTTGAGACAGGGATGATAAATATGAGCAAATTTTCTGTCTCTGACTTTTTGGACTAATACCAAAAACAAAGACGTTTGTTTACATTTTTTGTGACCTTCTAGCCTTCATCCAAGTGGCGAGAATTTATGCATAAAGATAGTTTGAGGGAGTTCTTAATTAAGGTATGGACGAATTCAGGTGAGAAACTACTGATGAATGCTAGACTTGCGTGTAAAATGAAAACAGGGTACACAAGGTTTTGTCCACTGTTTGTGAATGAGGCCCAATATGAGGAAAACTTAACTCAAACTCTTGGCTCCCAGTTGTGACGTGGAACACCTGCTTCCTCCTTGCGCTGTATTCAAAAGCCGTCTGGAAACCGACATTCTACAACATAAAGAGAATCAACTATAACACAAATCGTCTTTTCAGTCACGTTTTGATCCCACTACAGACATAAACAGGACAGAGCAGATATTTAAGGATTCAAAACGCAGTGTCTTACCAGCAATTTTCCAGCAGCTTCCTTGATTTTTTCCACTTTTGCTTCTGACAGGCCCTTGATGTTACACAGAGCTTTGCGGGTAGTCATCTGGATCCCCTTAACAGTGCAGATGCCCACTGACTTCAGCTTTTTGATGTCTGCCATGTTCTGTGATCACA